TTGCTGCTGCTGCATCAATAGCAACACAGCACCCCATGCCCACTCGCACAGCCACGGACCCCCGTCCCTAGGGCTGGGACTGGGCGCTCAACAAAGTCCCGGTCCCAGCACTTGGTCTCATCCATGGGTCCTGCAGCGTGGAAAATCGATTATCCCTGAACGCTTTGGCAGTTAAGTGCTGGGAGTCTGGGGTTGCTGGCCCCCTTTTTGCTTGAGTTGACAGCACAAAACACGCAAGCAGCTCAGTAACCGAACCGTAACTAAGCAGCCCAAGACAGGACGAGATGCACTGCGTTATCGTATCGAGTCTTGCTGTCTCGTCGCCTCCGTGATGACTTGTCAAGGGCTTGTCCGTCTTGTCCGTCTCGCTCGCTGGGTGATAGATCCAGCATGCAGGCAGCATCAGGGATCTAAGGAACCAGATCGATACATCGACCACGCCGGGATTCATGACCTGTCTCATGTCCTCGCGAGTCCCCCAGGGCTGCATCTCCTGCATCTCCCCTTGAAGACGGCCTTTGACCACCGCACAGCCAGGCAGTAGTTGTTGCTAGTGGTGGTTGATATTTCCCGTAGCCACCCCCTAGAGCTGCCTGTCTTTGTCACTCTCCTGCATGCCCGCATATCCTGCCGTAGAGATCAAACACGCCCGGCTTTATAGAATGGACAACCGTAGAGATATGTATGTTTATATGTGTGTTCCTTTATATGCAGCTCGTCCATATGGCCCTGCGATCCCGATCTGGTGGCTGCGGCTATTCTTGGAAGCGGGAAGTGTCTCCTGGTCTGATTGGCGAAGGAAAAAAGGACGAAGAAAGTCGACGATGAGAGGAAGAAGAAAAAAAGAAGAAGCCAGAAAAAAAGCCAGAGCCAGGGATCGCGCAGAGAGAGAAAGAATAAGCAGAGCCAGAGCAGCCAGAGCGTTTTCCTTCGCCTCCTGGAAGTAGAAGAAGAGAAAAAGCATAGAAAAACCAGCGACGATGCGGTGCCTTGCATCTCCTCGCGACTGACCGTCTGTCTTCCTCTTCCTCTTCTCCTTCTTTCTCTTCGTCTTCTTCTTCTTCTTCGTCTTTCTTTGCTTCGTCTTCTGCTTGAGCTGGTCGTCGCCGTCTCTCCTTAACCGCCGACTATCGAGTGCGCCTCGTCTTTTCTCTTCCTTGCTTCTCAGCGAGCATCCAGTCAAGCTGCAAACCGGTCAGTGTACAGAGCCAGCCGTTTCCCGGTTTCTCACACGGTATCTCTCTGCTCCTGTCCTACCTTGAACCGCTGTTTCTTTTCCTCCCGTTCTCTCCCTGTGTGTCTGTGCCTGTGTCTGTGTCCGTGTGTGTTCTCCCGTTCTCTGCTACCGGCTAAAGGCCCAGCAATTTCACCAGCTCGCCAGCTAACGAAGACGACCTCAAGCTTAGATTGCAGGATCATACTCATCCCCACGGAAGTCGACCCTCCTTTCAATAAAAAATTTACCCTTCTTATTATAACTACTGTGCTGGGAATACTGGTTGTGGCCGGCTGGAGAACTTGTTTGCGTGTTGAGCAACAGGGCCGTTTTTTTGCGCTCGCAGCCAGCCTGTCGGTTGATATCTCGACCTGCGTCTCCTTCGCCCCTTCGTTCTGTCTCTGCCAACCTTCCGGATACCATTGAACGGCCCAGGATAACGTGTCCTGTGTTGCCCGTTGAACTATTGCTCCGCATCTTGTCCTGAACTTGGTCTACTTTTTTTTTTTTCCTTTTACCTTTCTTTTCGCTCTGCTACAACGTTCTATGTGTGACAGGTAGGCGGCTTGCGGACAGTGTTCATGAATAGTCCTGCACTTCGCCGTCCAGAAGCCCCCATCATGTCTCCCGTTTCGACCGACGGGAGTGAATGGTCCGGGATAAATCAGTATTCACTCCCTTCGCCCAATTCAGTCCGTGGATTTCCTACTCCGCCGCAGTCTGGCCCTGTTGCTCCGTCTCATAATGGCCCTTCAGACACTACGTCCGTCTCATCAAACAGCCTGACACTACCGCCGTCAGGAAGAATGTCGCAGAAGGCGTCGCCTCCAAGTTCCGTTACCTCTCCGTCCAGAGTGAGTGATGGTACCCTATCGGACCAGAGCAGTGCCAGGAGGCAACGGATGGAAGATATGCTGTCCCACACCTTACATTGTGCTCAGGAGATATCTCCAAGGTCCGTCGCGAGAT